TTGTGGGTCTCTAATTGGGCCTTGGTTTGGGTTCGGTTGCAGTATCAATTTATCATTTTTTGAGAGAAACAATGGGCTTTGGGTTTTGTTCTTTTTAGTTTTTTACTTTTAGTCAGCAAAGCCGATATAATCGGCCCGAAAAAACAGCCCAATATTAACCATAACAGAAAATGAATTCACTATAAGGGATTAGAGTTCCTAGTTTTATGATTTAGGAGTCTTTAAATAGAGAGAAGATTCTAATATTAAGGGTTTATCTCTTATTAAGGGTTTTTATTTTATAATTTAAACTGTAAAATAACTTTTTTTTATAACTATTAAGTAGTAGAAATAGCTTGGGAGCTTTTTCTCCTTTTTTTTTTATTATTTTTAAATAAGAGGCAGAAGTTTGAAGTTGCAAAAAGGAAAAAAAAAATAGCCTCATTGCATTTTTCAAAACTTAGCCTTCGATTTAGTATAATTTTAAGTTTTTATTTTTTTTTATATTTAATAACTCTTATTATATTTAAAAATAAGTAATTGGTATAAAAATTAAAATTTAGTAAATTTAATCCAAATATAACATTAGTTATTAAATATATAAAAAATAAAAATAAAAACCAAAACTTAAAACTATAGTAAAAGGACCTTACTTATTAATACTTTTGTTATTAAAAATTCTCATTTCACTTTAAAAAACTTTCAAACTTAAAATGCTTATAGGATAGTAATTAAGAACAGCCCTTCGAACATGGTGTTGGTGAACTAAAATAATTAATTAACCATTTAATTTAAGTTCACGTGTTAGCATAATTTCTTTTCATTTTAAGTTATATAATAAGAGATAAATCTCTTCAATCTTTTAATCAACTTTATCTACATATTATATAATTTAAATTCAGAATCTCTTATTGTCACAAAAAATAAAATATTATCAAACTATTTAACTTATTGGCTGTGTTACCATAATTTATATATCCACATTGTTGAGTGCATCTTCCTATTCAAAAAATTTGTATACGTAGAGGTCATTAAACTAGTGCATCGAGATAGTATCTTGTTCACGTACAATTAATGTACTCAATTATTTTATGTACCCATAGAAAGGTTTGTGCTTGAGTCCTTTGTTCGGTGTCTTCAAATCAATAAATTCAAAGAATTAATTAAAGTAAGTAGTAGCATTTTCGAGATATCTCTAATGTAACAAATATAACTTATGACAAAAAATATGAATTTTTATAATTAATTTTTCGTCACAAAATATCTATTTCTTGTGGTGTTTCCTCTATCCTTCCCCCCAAAATTGTATATATTTTCAACGTGTAGGAGGAGCAAAAAGACAAAATGCTGGGGAGCAACTTACTAGTGTGAAGGAAGATGCTTCTATGCCACAAACGCGGTTTCCATGTTTTTAATCAAGGCGAATCATGCAAAACAAAAACCTCCTGAACTTGACTATCAGTGGCAGATTAGCCCCTAAACCAAATTCAGAAACATAGCACCCCTTATACTCTTTCACAGTGGCAAATAAACCCTTGTTTGAAGGTTGACGTCATCGTTCCGTCAAATAACTAACGGTGCTCTTGTTTCACTCTACTGGCTGCTGAGTTGGAAACAATGTGGGTCCTATGTCATCAAACCTATTAATATTAAAACATTTTATGAAATAACAATTTAAAAGTAAGAATTTTAAGTGCTTCTATTCATACAGAGCCAAAACCTTTTTCTTTTTCTTTTTTATCTATCGCAAATAATTAAAGTATTTTACAAATTTTCATTAAAAAAATTACAACTTGTTTTTAGTATTTCTCTTTATTTATGTGGATTATGAAGAATAAATTAAATTCAAACTTAATTTTCTATCTTTATTTTTTATTTTGTGTCTAGAAATTGTTTTTTTTTTTTTTATTATTTGTTTTTCATTATTTGTCATTCATACTTAATTTTCTTATTTGTCTGAATATAGAGTTATAGAAGAGAGGTGAATTTTATGTTGCATATGGGATTTAGAGTTTATCATTAATGATTCACAATTTGGGTTGGATCAAAATTATGTGTTCAATTTTTTTTCTTTTTATTACTTCAGTTCTAGGATTAAACTAACTATAAAAGGAGAAATCATGTATATTTAAGCTAAATTAAGTTACAATTTTTTTGATGATTTTGTTGTTAATATACTTAAGTAATAAATATATCTAGCACTACTAGAAAAAGCTTACTTTCGGATAAAATATTTCTTTCGGCCTCGCTTTCCTTTCCGTCAACCATGCCATTGTTCGCGAGCGTGGTGGTTTAGCTGGAAATGCCGGAGATGGGTGGCAGAGGCCGGCCGAGAAAGAAAGATGCGCCGCCTAAGGGTGGTGCTGCAACAAAAACAGATCTAAAAGATGATAATGGGGAGCAAAATAGCATCCAAGTTGGGGAAACCAACAAAGAGCAAATTGAAGCCGTGAAGCCTGATGCTTGCGATCCAAACCAGATGGGTCTCGAAATTGAGGAATCAGGGCGTTTGAGTCCAGATCTAGGGGAGAAAGAAGGGGACGCTGAAGGAATTTTGCTAGATCTAGCAGTTTCGATGCAAGGCCAGAGGAAAAGCAGATGCGATGCAGGTCCCAGGGATGGAAGAGCAGATAAAGGGAAGAGCACAGCCGGCCCCGTGGAAGGGAAAGTAGTGATGGGGAAGAAGGGAGTGCGCTCGGAGACTCAGCCTTCTGTCATCCAGATGAAGCAACCTTCTGGGGAAAGGGCCGCTGGTTTTACATCCGGTACGGTGATGTCTCCTAGTGCTCGGTGGAGTGACTTGATTGAGAAGGAGAAAGGGGAATTTCATCCATCCCTAAAGCAGAAGCCACTGCGTAGCTGGGCTTCGGTTGTGGAAGGGAATAGGGATATTAGTAAAGGATGGGATTTGCAATTTATGAAACCTCAAGATCCAACAGGTGCTGTGGTTATTACTGAGGATGAGTGGGTTAAAGGGTCAAAGATTTGGGAGAATGCTCTCGTTGGGTATGTTCTGGGATCTAAACCTGATTTTAAGGATGTTGCTAATTTTGTGAATAACAGGTGGAGGGAATTCCAGGTGCCTAAGGCGTTTATGTTGCGAAATGGAGTTTTCTTGTTTGATTTTGGTAATGCAGATGCAAAACAGGCGGTGCTAGAGAGGCGATGGACATTTAAAGGGCACCCTTTGATTTTGAAACAGTGGACTCCATATTTTGATCCTAACAATTTGGAAATTAGTAAGATTCCTGTCTGGATCCAATTTCCTAAACTCCATTTGAGCCTTTGGAACCCCGAGAGCTTAGGAAAGCTAGCAAGCTATGTGGGAGTTCCTATTGCAACTGATGCATTAACAGCTAAAAGGCAAAGAGTGGCTTATGCTCGTATGCTAGTAGAGATGGAAATCATGGACACTTTGCCCCGTGTAGTTCCTATTATTGGTCCTAAGGGTGTGTCCCAGCAGCCTGTGGTCTTTGAATGGGAGCCTGTTAGATGTGGTAAATGTAGAAACCTGGGGCATGAAGAGAGAAACTGTACTGCTAAGGAAAAAAAAGGTGTGGGTTCCAAAAAAACCTACCGAGGAGCAAGTGGTCAATCAGATAGTTGGCATGAAGTCTTCTGAGGGGAATGATGAATTATGTGGTGGCGAAGTGCAAACTGCTACTAATTCAGCAAATGTGAAGCAGAGTACACTTTCACATCCTTCTGGAAAGCTGATAGGGGAAAGCAATGAGCAAAGTCCAGTGCTACTGGAAGTGGGAGCTATGAAGTCAGTGAATCTACAGAATGAGACTAGTATTGGCACAGGGGATAAAGAGATGATGCAAAAGGCAGCAGGGGGAGAATCTTCTGTAAGTAAATCTCTTTCATGATATATCTTTCTTCATGGAATGTGAGGGGTTTGAATGACCCTATAAGGCAAGTAGATGTTAAAAAGTTTATATGTTCAAATAAAGTCCAGTTTATGGCTTTATTAGAAACTAGAGTGAAACAAGAGAATAGTAGTCGAGTTGTGCAAACTTTTGGTAGGCAATGAGGATGGTTGAATAATTATAACTCTCATCCTAATGGTAGAATTTGGATATTATGGAATAAAACAGATTTGAGGGTGACTGAAGTAATACAAACAGACCAATTGCTACATGCTGAAGTATGCTCTGCAGTTGGGGACGTTAAATTTTTGTGCACAATTGTCTATGCTTTTAATACTTTTGATGGTAGAGTAGCATTATGGGATCAAGTTAGAGCTCTAGACGTTGAAAATGTGCCATGGATAATTTCTGGAGATTTTAATACAACTCTAAATTATGGTGAAAGGGTGAAGCCTAGTGGAGTTGTTTGGGGAGATACCTCAAAGCTCAAGGATTTTGTCAATAGAATGGAGGTTTTTGATTTGCAATTTTCGGGTGCTTTCTTCACTTGGAGTAATAAGCAAGGGGAAAATGACAGGGTAATGGCTAATTCAACATGGGTTAGTGCATTCCCAAATACTTCTGTTGTCTTTCTAAATCCACAATCCCCAGATCACTCACCCTCATTAGTGACTGTGGATGTATTGATGAACGAGAAACCAAGGCCATTTAGATTCTGCAATGCTTTGTCTAAGGATGAAAACTTCCTTGATCTGGTTAGGGAAGCTTGGAGGGTGGATATTCAGGGATGCCCTATGTTTGTTGTAGTGCAGAAATTGAAATTGGTAAAACAGAAGATGAAGCAGTTGCATAAAAATAGATATGGAAACTTGGAGGGAAGAATAAAAGATATGGCAGCAGAGCTACAAAATGTTCAAGCTTCCATGCAGAATGCTTTATTTGATGAGACTTTGGTTGCAAATGAAAAGGAACTTCAACATGAATTAACTAAGCTTGAGAGAGCCAATCTGTCCGTAATTGCCCAACGAGCAAAAGTAACTTGGCTAAAGGAGATGGACTCTAATTCTGCTTATTTTCATGCTAAAGTAAAGGAGAGGCAGCATAGAAGTGTTATTAACTCCATCTTGAATAGTGAAGGAGTTAGAGTGACTCAGCCTGAACTTATAGAACAAGAGTTTTTAATGTTCTATCAAAACTTGTTTGGAAAGGCAAAAGAAGGTGTTCAAGCAGTTGATATGAATGTTATCCGCAGGGGCAGAGTGTTAACTACAGAAGAGTCAGAAGAGTTGTGCAGGCCATTTACTATTAAGGAAGTGGAGAGTGCCTTATTTTCAATTCCTTCTAACAAGTCACCGGGGCCTGATGGATTCACCTCAGGGTTCTATAGAGCAACTTGGTCAATAATTAAAAATGATGTCACGGCTGCTGTGTTGGATTTCTTTGACAGTGGGAAAATCCTCAAGCAAATTAATGCCACCAATATTACTATTGTTCCAAAGGTGAGTTGCCCAAATGTTGTCAGTGATTATAGGCCAATAGCTTGTTGTAATGTCATCTACAAGGTGATATCAAAGCTTTTAACCCAGAGGATTAATGAAGTGCTGAGCATGCTGGTTAGCAATAATCAAACTGCATTTGTGAAGGGCAGATCTATAACGACAAATTTATTGATTTGCCAAGATCTAGTGAGGAACTATCATAGAAGCAAGGGGCCAGCTAGATGCTTAATGAAAATTGATCTACAAAAAGCATATAATTCAGTGGATTGGGGTTATGTTAAGGCAATGTTAAGAGGGCTGAACTTCCCTGATAGATTTATTAACTGGCTTATGCTTTGTGTTTCTACTACCAAATTTTCTGTATTGATAAATGGACAGCCAAAGGGTTATTTTCAGGGGCGACGAGGGCTTCGACAAGGTGACCCAATCTCACCTTATCTATTTGTGCTAGTGATGGAATATCTCACAAGGAAATTGAAGGAGTTAGATATGCAGGAGAAGTTTAAATATCATAGTAAGTGTCAAGTGATGCAACTTACGCACTTGATCTTTGCAGATGACATTATGCTTTTTTGTAAGGCTGATGAGGAGTCCATTGTTTTGATGATGCAAAAGTTTGAGGAGTTTGCCTGAGTCTCTAGGTTGGAAGTGAATATAATGAAGAGTCAGGTTTTCTTCAGTGGTGTTAGAGAAGGGCAGAAAGTTGCTTTAATTCAGAAGTTGGGTTTTGCTGAGGGACAGCTGCCAGTAAGATATTTGGGGTTGCCATTGATTTCAAAAAAGCTATCTCCTGGGGCATGTCAACCTATTATCGATAAAATTCATCAGAGAATTGGCTCTTGGGCAACGAAATTCCTTTCATATGCAGGTAGAGTTCAACTAGTTAACTCTGTTTTATTCCACATTCAAGTTTTTGGAGTGGTGCTTTATTGATTCCTAAGAAAGTGTTAAAGCTAATTGATGCTGCTTGTAGAAATTTCATTTGGTGTGGTAAATGGAATTATAATGCAATGTCTCTTGTAGCATGGGATGATGTATGTGTGCCAAGGAAAGAAGGGGGACTAGGGGTGAAGCAATTGCTGCATTGGAATAAGGCAGCATTAGGCAAATTGGTTTGGAATATATGTCAACATCAAGAGTCGCTGTGGGTTAAGTGGGCACAGGTGGTGCTGTTGAGAGGTGAAAATTTTTGGAAGGTTAAAATCCCAGCGGATTGTGCTTGGACATGGAGGCAAGTTTTAAAACTTCGTCATCTACTGAAAAATATCATTTGGATGCAAGTGGGAGATGGAAGACAAGTTTCTCTATTTTATGATTGGTGGGCAGGTGAGTTAAGGTTCTGTGAGTTGATCTCAAGGGAAGAGATTGCTGTTTGGGGCAATGACCTTACAGTTAGTGAGTGGTGGGATGGTTTAGACTGGACCATTCCAGATAGTTTTGTGAGAAGACATCCCATGCTTGTCCAGATTATTAGATGTCAAAAACTATCTCAACAAGTGAACAATGCTGTATGGAAACCTACAAAGAATGGGTTGTTTACTATTTCAAGTTGCTATGAGTTCCTAAGAGTGAAACGCCCTAAGGTAGAATGGCATCATATTGTTTGGGCAGGGTGCATTTTCCCGCGACATAGATTCATCTTTTGGTTGGTATTGCGGGGTAGACTAAAAACTAGAGA